GACTCATCTCATCCATTCTTATTTTATCTCATCCCATTTGAGATGAATCCATCCTTATGTTACCATTTCCCACTACAATTTGCTCTACTATTCGCCTCATCCCCTCACTATTCTTTATCTAATCCTGTCGCCTTTTTCGTCTTCTCAGATCAGCTACCTCAAAGGCAGTCGGCGTGTCGTGAGTCCCTGCGAGAAGGCGGGCAAATGGCGTCATTTCATCCACGCCCTCTTTCTCAACTGCGCCAGCCTCGACGTCAATCCTGCCATTCGCGAGTTCACCAAAACCCTCGAGTTCTATCTGTACCTGGACGAGCGTCGTGACTGGGCCGACTGTCGTGACTGCTTCCGTCTGGACGTCAAATCCCAACTGGCCGGTGCCATCATCGCCATCGACAAACCGGACACTTTGGGCAACATCAACGACAAAAGCATCAACCTGAAACCGGGCACCTTAACCGAAATTCGTCTCTCCATCGAACAGCACATCCAACAACTGCCGCCCTACGGCAACTGTTCCAACTCGACTCCCAGCCACCTTTCACTCTACGGCATGAACTACACCTACTCCGAGTCGGCCTGTCGTCAAGCCGCCATCCAGACCAGTCTTCGAGAGCACTGCGGTTGTCAAGCCATCGAGTACCCCTACGACCCGGACAGTCGACTGCCCTTTTGTCATGCCGCCGCCGAGTTCGTCCCCAAAACCGCCTGCAACGCCAGTCAGTCCGCCAAACTGTCGGCCCGACAGACCAACGCCGACGTCGACGCCGACGCCGACGCCGAGCTCGGAGCTGGGGCCGGCGAGGAGGCGTCGGCAGAGCACCTGCGCTGTATGCTTCTGCTCGACAAGCTGTTGGAGCGTAGCATCTGCAAGTTGCGCGTTGTCGGCGGATACCAAAACGACGTTGTGCCCGGCTGCCGTATGCCCTGCTCCTTTTACGCCTACGAGACGGAGAAATCGACCTCTGCCTGGCCAGCAAAGGTTGATTTTGATTAATTTTAATGTTCAATTCACTACTTGTCTTTCTTCGCCATTTTCATGGCATTAATTTTATTAAGTATTTATTATTCAAATAATGCTAGATAATATATTAAACAAAATAATAATAAGATGTATTCACCCTATTTCGTGTAAGGTGATGAAGGACTGGTAGTAGAATTTTCCCACAATG